GAAAAACTAATGGCATCAAAGAGGAAAATCAAATATTGCTCAAGTGCCACTGGCAGCCGCACCAGCCAGCAACCACAACAACAACCAAAACAACAACAACAATAACAACAAAAGCAACATCAAGCCGATTATCGTGGAAAACCGTGTAAGAAAACATGCAGATGGTCCAAAAGGAAAGTTTTTGGCCAAACGATAGACCGCAATGCTGCCAAAGTCAGAGCCATAGCCATAGCCATAGCCATAGCCAGAGACTCAAGACTCAAGATTCGAGATGAGTTTCGTGGAAAAGCGATGGTGGAAAAGTGGAAAAGTGGGCGGGGGCCAGTCAAGCAAACAGGGAACAAGTTTATATGATTTTGATGAATTTCCGTGGCAACGGGGCCAAAATGAAAGCGCGACTCGATAAGTAGCAGTTAAGATTTCGCTGCTCTTCTCAATATCCGCATGGTCAAAAGGGAGGCGAGAGTTTTTGGTTTTTTTTTTTTTTTTTTGCCCAGAGCTTACCTTTGAGTTTAATATCAGGGAAAAAGATGATAGGAAAAACGTTGGCGGCAGAGGTTGAGGAGGAGGAGGAGGAGGAGTGGCAAGACAAGTCCTGTGCCACTCTGCCACTGGAAAGTAATTTCCTGCAATTTAAACTAAAGAAAAATAAGGAAGCGTCTTTGATTTCCGCGTGAAATGCTGTGGGTGGTTGGATGTTGGCTGACTTACTATATATATAAAGATATATACCTATATATAGAGGCTGTGAGGAGGGGTCGAATTAAAGTTGATTCAATTTATTATTAGCCGCCGTTTATTGGATAACCGACAGCGCTGCAAATTGCAATGTCGATGTCGCTCTATTTTGCGTCATTCGAATAAATCGAATGAATGCCATAAACCAAATTAATCGAATAGTCGTTTATTGAACCATAGTTTGAAACTATTTTCAGACTTAAACGTTGTTTAAGAAAATTATGGCAATGTGTTTAAAATGTTTGTTTCTACTTTTGGCTGATAAAGATATATCTGAGCAGCCTTAGCTTAGATTTTTCATGTTAAGACGGCATTTCTTCACCAAAAGTTAGTTAAAATTCATCAATAAACTTCTTCTAATTTCCATCTTTCAGTTTACATTTTCGAATCTTAACTTAGCTGCCCTTCTGCCAAATATTTCTAAGCCATTTCCAATGCTAACCTATCGGTAGCTGCTGTTGCTGCTATTTCTCCCCCATTTTTCCCATTATTTGTTTTTCTTTTTGGTGTGGCACTTGGGGCAGACACTCCTTCCCCATTTAGCTGCGACACCAAATGAAATGCCTGAGGGCAGTAAATTTAAACGCCCGGCAGGAGTTGCTTCTTGTTTGGTTGCTGAGGAGGTTTAGTATGGGAGAGGTTGAGGAGCTGTAGGGAAGGTTACTGAGGAGTTGGCCAGGGGAAACGGCAATGGAACGCGGTTTTTGGCCGCATGGCGAGCGGAGTATTTACCGCCATGTGCATAGTTTGCAAGTCTGCGCGGCGGCGACACCTGCAGGAATGGTGGTCACTCCGGTTCCTTCTTGTCCCTCTCCCTGTCCTTGCCTGTCCCTGTCCCTCTCCCTGTCCCTCTCACTGTCCCTCTACCTGTCCCTTTCCCTGTCCACATCCAGGACCAGACTGGAGAGCAGACATGGCCACTAACAACATCAAAAAGTGCCAAGTGCCAAGTGTTTGCGTTGGTCGCCAAAACGCGGCCCTACAAATTGTTTCTCTTCTCCTGTATTTTGATACCCTGCAAAAGCTGCTCTAGAGGTATATTTGTGCTAGATAGAAATGAGATTTATATAAAAGTATCAATAGAAATAATGCTTGCAAAGTAGAGAGTTAAAATATAACTTTATTTAGGATAAAACTATTAAGAATTTCTTTTTAAACATAACCAAAATGCCAGAAAAGCTAATTTTAAAATGCTTTTGGTAAATATTATGTTAAAAATTTGAAAATATTTATAAAAATTAAGGTACAAGCTATCAGGACACATTGTAAAAGTAGGTTTATAATATATTTTTTACGGCTAAATACTTATTGATAAGATTAAAGACAGACTTAAGAGAGGTTTTCCTATGCCTTCTTTTTCCTACTTTATTGATTGATTTCCACTCAAACTATAGATAATGGGTACTTCAAGGTCGTGTTAGCCCTAAAAAAAAGGTGTCCTTGTTTTTAACCGTGTGACATTTTTCTTTTTTATTTACGGAAGGGGAGTGTTCAGCCCTAATGTGAACTGGTCCAAGTTTCCTTCATCCTGTTCCTCTCCAAATTTTTTTTAACTTTTTCTTTAACTTTTTTTTTGCTTTTTTGTTGGCTTGTTTTGTTTTGTCCACTTGTTGGCTACTCTTTTATGCACATCGATTTTCGCTCAGTGCTTTTTATTTGCCAGTCCATGGTGGAAGGCGGCGGGGATGGTGGAGGGGCAGTGGAGTGGCAGTGGAGAAAGGTGGAACATCGTACATCGGAGTTGTTTGTTTGGCACTGTTTGTTTATGTGCCGTAACTGGTTGGTGAGAAGAATAAAAAAAAAGGGGGGAGGATAAGATGGGTGAAAACAGGACAGGAAAAATGTTGGGAAAATTGGGGCGTGGCTGGAGGGGCAAGAGAGGTAGAGAGCAAAAAAAAAAAAAAACCCGACGGCACGGGGACAAAACTTTTTAAAGCGACATTTAACGATGCCCTTAAGTTGAGCACAACACTTTCCAGGACCAAGTGAGTGCCACATGAGTGCATTCATTTACTCACTTGCACCCACACAGAGACAGAGACACCCCCCTCCCACTGTAGCTTGCAACTTCAACTCAGACTCAAAATCATGAGTCCAGCGAGTACTCACTTGGCACCCAAACCAATTAAACTCCATCCTTAGTTGGTATAAAAAGTAAATTTTCAACTTACAAATTACGACCTGCGGCGGTTAAAGTGATCGGTTGAGGGTTTTTTATTTTCTTTAAAGAAAAGCCTTTAGAAGTCTTCTTAAAAAATGTTAAATGTCATTAAATGAACAGAATATTGGTTGAAGTTTTAACTTCTCTTTCTGATCTCCTAACTACACTTTCCTTTTTTTGATCCTCAAATCAGTACCTATCTTAGTACCAGTTAGTGACTTTTAAGTACATATACTACCCCCAGTTAGTAACAGTTTTAGCTGCATTCGCAGTTAATAGAAACAATTTTCGACCAGTCTAACAAAGTTTTTAGCCAAGTTAAGGTGGCCCTTTTGACACTGACGTTTTGGCAAATGGCGGATGGTTTGCCAACGCTTCAAGTACGGCGACAAATCGTGCAACAAAGTCAAATGCACTTCATGGAAAACTAAAGGAAAAGTGTGTTGTAGCGTATGTGTATGTGTATATGTGTATGTGTGTGTGTGGAAAATTGACAGAGAGTGGGGTGTAGTGGAGTGGCTGTATGTGTGTAGTAGTACATGTGATGATTCATTTTGCAATATTGCATATTGTGCGTCGCACTTAAATTCAATTAAGCTACAAAGGCAGTTGCACACAGTACACACATGCAGTAACACACAAACACACATGCAGTACAAGGCAGCCATGAGCTGGCACCATCAACATCGCACACACACACACACATACAGGAGAACCGGGGACCACAAGCGTCCAATAACCCATCAGTTGTCGCGTCAGAAAAACCCAAAGCGAGCCACCCTAGAGTGAACCACCCACTGAAGTAACGGTGGCTACACTTTATAGCATTGCCCTTCGTGCACTCACTCATTCATTGATTCATGCACCAATTCGCCCCACTCATTCAATCATTTCTGCCGAGTCCTCCTCAACGATATCGCTTTAGTTTCCACCTCCGAGAAGCTTCAAGATGGCATTGGCAATGTTGTAGCCAGCAAATTCTTCAGATAAATGGCTTAAAAGAATTCACTTTTGAGGTGACTTAAGCTTAAGCTACCTTTTAGAGGTAGTTATAGGACTTAGTTTAGGGATTTGTTAATGTGAATAATAATCTAGCTAGTAACTCAGTAAACCATCTCCTTGCCCAGAAATCCCAATTTACCATAGGGTATACCTCACAAAACTAGTGCCATGGTGTTTTTAAGGCGTGTTGCCTGGCATTTTGTGGGTGTGGCAGCAGCTCTCTAATTTCATTTACACGCTTTTCAACGCTACCCATCGGGCGCACCAATCGAGCTCCATTTAAATGTTTGCCTAGGTGCGCCATCCAAACGAACCACTCATCATCCACCAACCATTCCACTCATCTATCTATCTAACCACCCACTACTGAAGCACCCCAGCACACAGAGATACTCAGAGGTAAGTAAGTGGAACTTCCGGAGCTATACTATAGGTAATGCCTGGCTCTCGCTCGCATACATCCTTGGGTGCTTTCGCTTTTGAGCTTGAGTTTGCGTTTGCATCTCGCAGATGCCTCGCTGCCATGTAGAACTAATTCCATTAAAGCCAGCTCTAACTTGATTTTCAATTGACTCCTCATTTGCAGTGGTGCTTGGTTCTTGGTGCTTGGTGCTTGGTGCTTAGTGGGGTGGTGCTGTTTGGATGGTTGAATGGTAGCGATGGTTGGATTCGGTGGGTCAGGACGCGCTGTCAGCAATCAACATGTTCAATTGAGCATATCCTGCCGGCTGCAGGACACTGCCATACTGCCATACTATACCAGAGAAATGTGATTACCCGACGCTATTTTCCACATACATCCGTGCAGTGGCGTAGGCGTTAATTTTCTAGATGGAGGGGGTTTTCTTTAAGACATAAGTCTTAGGAACTTACCTCAAGATAATCTAGAAAATAGTTTAGAAGTAAAAAACCATTACGAAATATTTATTTATTGAACTTTTAAGAAGCAGATTGAGCATACAGAAACCCCTTAACGTAAGCCACTGACAGAAAGAGATGGGTAATAGGGCATAGAAAGAGATGGCAGGACAGAGAACACACAACAGGAAGAAAGTCCAGCGGGCGCCTTTTACATTTCATTGGATTTTATGCGTTTCACTTTATGCTGATGTTTTTATTATTAAATTTTCTTTAATTTTCATTTACATTTTCTGGCTTTCTTAGCGCTCTGCTCTATCACGCTCTATCTCGCTTGCTCCTGTTGCTGTCTCTCTCTCTCTGTTCTGGTCGTTAGTGTTGTCGCCAATGCTGATGACTCCTCTTCATTTTCACACTTTTCATTCAATTTATTGCATTTCGCAAATTGAGTGTCGCTTTCCTTAGATCTATTCTCGCCTTCTCCACTTTGCTTTCTCCTCCTGGCCACATCCTCTCATCATCCTGTCCTGTTTTCCTCACTTTCCTAATTTCCCCAAAAGAGAGAGAGAGAGCGCGAAAAATGGCAAAGAAGTATCTAAAAAGAAATAGAAGCCAATTTGATTTAAGGTTAAGGAATACTTAAAGAATGGGAGGGGAGTTTAATATTCCAGTTAATACCTTTAAGTTGCTTAACTACAGAAAGATCTTTAATTAAGTTTTTTACAAGCTGCATTTTAAACCACTATTTTTTGGTATTTTTAGTTAAAAAATAGGAATAGTTTTTGTTATGGTAGTGTGTTTTGTTTATTTTCTATTTTTTTTTAATTCTGTGCCAAAGAACTCTGTAAAATTGTAAACGTAAAAATTTGCCTTTCTATACATCCTTCTTCCTTATTTTCTGATCCTTCTTTTTTCTAATTTTCCCATCAAATATTTTCCATATTCTTAATTTCTTGATTCTTAATTTTTAGATTGATAATATTCTAAATTTTTTCTAATTATTTTCTTGAATTTTTACTTCGTAGTGTTCTCTATTCTTGATATTCTTTTTGGCACTTTCCTTACTTCCTTCTTATCCTCCTTCCATTTATCATAATTTTTCCCAATTCTTTTCTTATTTTTTTTCCAAATTTTCTTAACATTCCTCCAATTGATAGTTTTTCCTAAATCGCTTTCCTTACTTTTCCTCTTTGCTTTTTGCTTTAAGTAGTGACCGGCAATGGTCCGTCCCACCATGACGGCTAATTGACAGCCCACCTTCTCCTTGCCATTTTGAGTCAGAGCATTCATTTGACTTTCCGTTAGCAGAATGACACTGCCAGCTCTAATCAATTTAGCAGGACGATGGTTGGTTCGAAAATGATTAAGACTGCCGGTATAAGATATAGTACTTTCGGGTGAAAGACCAGATTTGTCCCACAACGTGATGGGTATCCTGAGGGGTAATTTCATGGAGGTTATCGTTTCAGCCCAGATAAATGTCAATTGCTGATCCAAATCGCATTTACCCAATATCTCATTCAATGGTATTTGCCTGGTCATTATGGTGATGGATAAGAGTTTCTGATATGGATCCATGTTATATCTACAATCATTGATCACACCCTCTAATTGTATCACAGCCTTACATTACAGGTCGATCAACGTTGCATTCTCCAAAGTCCAAATCGATAATCCGGGCCTCATTCAATCTCTGACGTAACCTAATCCATTGCAGGCAATGCACTGTGTAGAAATGCCTATTGATACAGTATTTACTCAAGAGCTCTCGGCAATTCGATAGCGTGCATTTGGTTATATAGGGAAAGGTATACAAATTATCGATTGGAATTGGCAAAGCCACTTTACCATACCGATTCCTCCTAACGAAATCATCATCATCATCAGTATATTCGAATATTTCTGTATGCGAGTCATTATCATTCGAGTTTATATAGCGAACTCGACGTACTGGTCTAGCTTGATCAACGGCCACACTTTTGGGTTCCGATGTTTGCCAAAGCGAAGTTCCTGGAAGCCAGGGAGTTTTGTTAAGGAATTGACAACCAAAGATTACATACTTTTCTTGGGGCTCGGAGTTCGTATATATGTCGTTTATACATTTCAACTGTAGTTCTCTTTTCTTTCTAGTCCATGATCGTAGATCCCGATAATCACTTTGTTTAGTTACTATTGTGGGAAGTTTATTGCTGCTTTCAGCTTGATTTATCACTGCATTATAATCTTTATCGATTTCTTTAACTAGATCTGTGACGAAAATAGAATCTTTATCGATTTCTTTAACTAGATCTGTGACTTTAGTGGAATCTTTATTGATTTCTTTAACTTGTTCTCCAGATATATAAGAATCATTATCGATTTCTTTAACTTGTTCTCCAGATATATGAGAATCTTTATCGATTTCTTTGACTACACCTGTAACTATAGTAGATTCTTTATCGATTTCTTTGTCTTTTTCTCCAGATTTATGAGGATCTTTATCGGTTCTTTTAACTTGGTTTCTAGATATATGAGAATCTTTATCGATTTCTTTAACTTGTTCTCGTGATATATGAGAATCTTTATCGGTTTCTTTAACTAGATCTGTGGCTATAGTAGAATCTTTATCGATTTCTTTAACTTGTTCTCCAGATATATAAGACTCTGTATCGATTTCTTTAACTACACCTGTAACTATAGCAAAAACTTGATCTTTTTCTTTATCCTGATCCATAACTGCAGCAGAATCATTCTTGCTTTCTTCAACTAGAACCTTAACTATAGCTGAATCTTTATCGTTTTCTTTACCTTTCTCCTTGCCGCTTTCTCTACTTTGATCTGTAGCTACATTCGAAACATTATCGCTTTCCTTTGCTTGATCTATAACCATAGTAGAATAGCTATTGCTTTCCTTGCCTTGATCTGTAGCTATATTCAAAATAATTTCAGTTTCTTCACCTCGATCCTTGACTCTAGTAGAATCCTTAGAATATTCTTTACCTTGATACTCCTTAACTAAGAAAGAAACTTTATCGCCAATAATTTCTATTTGAAAAGCCTTGGAACTTCTTGAGCTCTCATTGGATGTACTTACATTTTCATAACTCTTCTTAACTTGATCTGCGACTACATCAATGTGTATGTATATAGAAACTTTACTGCTTTCTTCTCCCTGATCGGGCTTACGATTTAAAGATTTTACATTCTTGAGAGTCTGATTTTCGGAGTCAGAAGATTCTATTCGAAGATCCTGTGAATTTAAGGAATTTCCATTGGACTTTGGACATTCATTTTCATCACTTAACTTGATCATTCTTAACTTGATCGATGACTATGCTGGAAACTTCGCCATCATCGAGCTTGTTTCTTAAGTTGGGTTTAAATTCCATAGAGTTTTGGCTGTCGGAGCTTGATAATTGCAATGGAAAATAAGGGCCACTTCTTGAGCTTTCATAGGATAAACAGGAATATTCATCAGAAGACGTTATTATTTCTTCGAATTTAATTGAGTTTCTTCAACATATGTAGAACTTTTTATGGGATTTTCTATTTCATTACAACTTACTTCTTGCTTTTCAAATAAGTTTCCCGCAACATCGTAACATTTAGATATCCGTCGTTTAACTTGGGAAACCTCCGTGACATCAATTTTGTGTTTCTTTTTAGTTTCATTCAACTTCTTGTTAGTCTGCCTTATTCTTTAGGCCTTTTGTCTTGCGAAATTTTGTTAATCTGGGTAAACATTTCCTGTTAGTAGTCTCACCCAAGAAAGAACTTCTCTTTCCAATCGAATGATTCGTCTTTCCGGCTCTATCCAGCGATTGAGATCGACTGCTTTTCAAGACACATTGCGAATTATATAAAATGTCTTTCCATTGACGCTGAAAGCTTGAGTTCATATTGGACTTAACGATTTCAAATGCCTAAATCTCAGGTCGAAGCAGAGTATGTAGGTATTGGTGTGGCACGTTCCACAGAAGCCCTTCTGTTTCTTATTGCAACGCAGGCATAGATAGTGATCTTGCTGGCATACATAGACCAGAAACTGTTGTATTAACGAAAACGGCGATAGCATCTTATAATCGCAAGCTGCACAGTTCATGGTGGATTTTATTTAAAAATATATATATTGTAAAAACAATATCAGCTTTTGTTAGAATATTAAGTGAGATTAAGTACTGAATAGAAGTAAAGTTTCAAATTGATTTCAAAAGCAAGGCAGGAGTTGATGCTTCCGGTAGATGACGCTGCAAAAGGCGCCATCTATTGATGAAACCATTAAAACGCCCAAGCAGACATGGCTAGATCTGCTGGGTTAGCGATCTTTGATCAGGAAAACAACCTTTAATTCTACGATATGGTTTTCGTATAACTTTATGAGATATTGATTTGCATGCAGAAATATCTAACAACCCATTTTGGCTTCCCCTTATAAGTAGCCCTTGGAATATAGTTCACCGATTTGAGCTCGAAAATCAGTAGGGCTTTGCGCATTGGCTGAAAACGAACAAACGAGCAAACAAGTCTTCCAATAACATGTGATCCAGCCCCGCTCAATCAAAATTACCTAAAGCCATATCTATATACAAGTTAAAATCCTAACAAAACTCGAGAAACGAAAACAGGACGAGAACTTAACAAAATGTCCAGCGAGCAGTCGAACAATCAACCGGAAACGGAAACGGGAACGGTAACGGAAAATCAAGTCGAGGCTGAATCACAAGTAGAACCCATTGAAGTTGAAGCCTTGTCGATCGCCAGTATGACCAGTTCCGAGGATGAGGCAGCAGCCAGCACTAGCCACAGTCCATCGGGAAAAGCGGACAAGGCACAACCAATCAGTGGCTGTGTGGTGCGAATAAAGCGGGAATTGCAGGATATACGGAAACATCCACCACCGAATTGCAATGCTGATATGTATGAGGAGGATCTATTTCGTTGGACGGCCGGTGTGGACGGACCAGCTGGCTCCGTTTACGAAGGCGGTCATTTCCGGTTGGACATCCGATTTCCGTCCAGCTATCCCTTCCGGCCGCCACGCATCCGGTTCAACACCAGGATATACCATTGCAACGTGGACAGTCGAGGTGCCATTTGCCTAGATGTCCTCGGGGAACGATGGTCGCCAGTGATGAATGTGGCCAAGGTTGGTTTTGTGATTTTCCATTTCATTCTTACTAGTTGTTACTTTCTACCTCGCTAAGGTCTTGCTATCCATTTACGTGCTGATGAGTGAGTGCAATCCAGAGGATCCGCTGGTCATGTGCATTGCCGATCAGTATAAGACCAATCGTAAGGAGCACGACAAGATTGCCAGACACTGGACCAAGCTGTTTGCCATGACCAAGGCCCAGAATAACGATAAAGAGAAGGTTAAGGAAGTTGATAAAGATGAGGATAAGGATCAAGATCAGGGTCAGAGTCAGAGTCAGGAACAGAACGCAGTGCCAAGTCAGCCAGAAAATTAGCAGTCAAAGAAGAAGAAACAGCCAATGCCCAAAGGTCAAAGTTTTAGCCCCATTAATCAGACACTAACATAAACACACATTAAACTAAAACCATTCTTATGCGCCTTTCTTGAGCCAATAAATTTTCAAATTTACTTCCACTCTATGTGATGGCTCTAGAATGTTTAATCCTGATCTGAACACAATATAAATATTAAAGTATCTTCAAGTCATATTTTCGAGGGCACTTCCTTCGCTTTAATGGGATGTTTTTGTAGTGCCAGTTGAGAGCTTCTCATGCTGCATACCCTTTGACCCACCGAAATGCCACCTCAAGGCAAGCAGTTTTCAAAATACTCCCGGCGTAATGTGCCACCACCACCAACACTAGCACTTCATACTGTGCCACCTAGTCCTTCCCTTCCAGAAATGCTGACTGTGTCAGATAGTCCACGCGGTCCTTTGGCCGCTCATGTCTATGAATATTCATGAGCTGCCAAAAAATGAACGTTGGAAAAACATCCACGGCCCAATGGACCCGTGGGTGGGTTGCTTTTGGTTAGCTTTGAAAAATGAATTGGAACGCGAACGGTTTAAGGATGCCAACACCTCCACCACCTCCACCATCACTACCACCACTACCATCACCAAGATGGCGATGCAGGCCATCAGCGATACAGGACACAAACAGCTCAAAGGACCAGGGCGTTAAAAAAGGTTTCCACACAACAAACGGGGTCACCTCAATTGACTGCGAGAATATATTCAAGCCGGCAATCTTTAAGGCCCATATGGAACTAGATGGCAGAGAAGGAGTGCTGCAAAACGCAAACACAATTAATGTCCTGCGAAAGGAAGGGATACCAACTAAGGGGCTTGGAAAACCTACATATAGGTCTTTGAGATCTTAAAACTCCACTTTTTGGAATACATATTCTACCAAACCATAAGTCACTTCTTAAAATACAATTACAAAGTTAGTAAATATTCAAGATTACCTATACTAACGAAAGTTAATATAACACTCCTCTAGTCCATGCAATAAGTGACAATATTGATACTGTCAGTTAGCGGAAATGCCAGAACGCACAGCAATCTCATGAATCCCAGGGTGATAAACGCATAACCCCAGTGACATTGGGGATGGCTTCCACCTTCTTCTTCATTCCCTTCACAACCACATGAAAATCCCTGGGAAACCCAAGTCTGGCCAACAATGTCATCAAAGTGCCCGAGTGCCGAGTGCCTTTCCAATATCATCCGCCCATTCCCTGTCTGCCGCTTGTCTGTCCCTTATTCCCCGACAAGTCAAACGTTAATGAACTTAAAGAAATTAATTAAAGTGCCAGGACACCCATAGTCCATGGCCTAAAGAGTACACCCAACACACACCACACACCACCCACCACCCACCACCCACCACCCAAATCACCCACATATGTTGCACATACATACTCGTACATAACATACATAGTGTATAAAGAGCTCGCAGCTTAACGCCTGTCCCGATTCCCGTTTATTGGAAACGACATCCGGGCTGGACGTCAAAGTCCTTGCCTTGGCCGCCACCATCACCATCGCCTGGCATCGCATCGGATCGGATCGAATGGCTTTCTTCCCGGGGTAAATGCAATAAAAGCAAGTTGCTCCCACTGAGACAACTTGACCGTTAAAAATGAAGTCAGCAGATGGGCGATATGCGAGTTTTCACTGAAGTTCACTTAAAAACGGCCTCGGAATGCCCTTAATCTGTATTTTTCTTAATGGACAACGAATCAAACTATAATCCTTATAACTTATGAGGCTTATCTAACTATTTCTAGTTAAGAGGTCATAAAGATCTAGAATATTAGCCTTTTTGGAAAAATTAATCAAAAATGGCACCAGAATCAGAGGCTGCTTGTTTATGGAGAACTCTGAAACCAACTTATTAAGATAAAAGACATCTTTCGAAGTTTTCTAAACATTCCCAATCAATATGTGTCACCTCGAAACTGCAAAATGGGGAGCAAACCACACAAGTGATGACTTCATCGCAACTTCCTGCACCCGTTCTCATTAACCCCCAGATATGGCCCCTTAGCGGCAAGCTGAACCAACGGTTACCCTCCGCTTAACCCTCGACACTGCCACCGCCACCGCCACCGCCACCGTCGTAGCCGTTGAATGTGTCAACCGCCGCAGGCGTCGCTACATTCGCACCCGGGTTAATCCCACAGAGTCGCCCGATTCCAATTGGCAATTGGCAATTGGCGATTGCCGGCAAACAGGCAAATAGCTTGGACAATCCGTCATAGCTTCGACTGTGGATTCGGATGGGTTTTGGGCATATGGGATGGTACCACCGACTTGGTTCGCTAATCGCATTGCATAATGGGTGTCCTGAAAGTGGGCGGTTAATTAGGAGTGGGAGTGGACAATTCCTAGGAGTTGGTCACCACATCCGCGAACTGACTATGTCTGCGTATGTGTGTGTTCTCAATGCAATCCAATTCTCATTTGCTGCAATTTCCATGGCGGGCTAATTCGGTACGGCTAATGCTCCAAAGGCGATTTCAGTTTACATTCAAATCGAAATCTACCGAGTCTCTTGATACGAAAAGGGATCAAAGTTGGAGTTTGGTTTAAAAAGAAAAAACAAAAATAAGGAACTAGAGAAAGGAAGAAACTTTCCCTGGAGATCATAGTGATTATTTCCTTCATACTCCAGTAAGTAAAAGTAACCAAGATGAGTGAGATCGTAAATTAATAAACTTCCATCGCCATCCAGTCAATATACCCCATTGTCGTGTGTCACATGGCAATAAATATTGCCGCATGTTAAATGTTTCGCTCGCCCTTTGGCCCGGCAAAATGACTGCTCAGGATTGAAGGATTGAGAGATTGAGGGATTGAAGGATGATTGGAGGCGGAGGCGGAGGCGGATTTCGAGGCACCACCCAAAAACCGAGGAGACGTGGCCTGCAGGCCTGCGATGGCCACTCGCCGATATTGCACAAAATTAACAAATGAGCCCGACAAGCGTCCGGCTGATGAGTTTCGTTTGCCCATTTTGCCCACGCCCATTTGACGTACCATGCCTCCTTGGTATCGTTGATACGGTCACCCGAAAAACTCCCGGAAAAGCCATACCACCAAGCCCAATGGCCAGAGGGCCGGAGTCGATTGAATTCCGTGTCAAACGGTTTCTGCACTCTCAGCTTTTATTGAATTCCATTACAGATTCATGTCCATCAGGAGGAGTAACGTCATCATAAGGGCCATATGGCCCAGGCCTGTGTTTGCCTTTTCGTTGGCAAGGGGGAGGGCGATGGCTAGGAGGCCAATATAATGAACACACCCACCGATTGCTGTCATTAATGTTAATGGCAAATTGTTTTAGAGCACCGACTTCTGCCGGTGACACTGTGACTGCGTCAGGACGAGGCCCGCATCCTGTTTGCCAGTCAAAAGAGCAACAGAGGAGAGACCGAGAGCGAGAATGAGCAGTTTGTCAAAAGTGCGGCGGCGACTACAAAAGCATTCGTTCCTTATCGCACCAGACAGACTTTTCCAACGGCCGGAAAAGTCCAGTGGCTAACAAACCGAGGGGAAAGGGTGTTTTTTTTTTTTCTTTTTGGGAACACAAAACCATTATGATTATGCCGGCGGAACGTCCAAAGGTTTGCCTTTCGGCCAGACCTTTATTTTGGCCAGCAATCCGTTGGAAGCCTTCCCACAGTTTTGGCCGTTTAAAAATGACCAAGCATCGAAAGCCAATTAATTTTTTGGGGACACTGAAAAGTTTTTTGGGTGTAGAATATAGATGCATTTAGGTTTATTATTCAAGATAAGAACGTTATTTGTCCGATTAAATCCACAAAACATTCGATTATGTTAGATACAAAAAAATCATTGCATACTTTTTGACGGCAGTGATTAAATGTCATAAATTCTTACTTAATACTTAGTTAATAGCTATTATCTTAGTTTATTCTTGATCTTAGGATTTTATTTAACTGTAGAAATCGTAAAAGTGCTAAATAATTTCGCTGGCCTCTGTCAACTTGGTTACAGCAGCAGTCTGCGTGCGTGCGTGTGTGGGGTATAAAATCAGCCCAAGGATTCCTCCGAGACACCCCCTTAACCCAAACCCAAACTCAATTGAGATTTGTCGCCCAGAGAAATGGCTTCCACATCAAAATCACTATACTACACTAGTGCATTCAAATCTGGACTGTGTGGATGAATTTCATGGCATTCGCACAATGAGAATTCAACCTCAACAAAGGGAAATTAATTTCGTCAACCAGAGAGTGCAGCTAAAGAATTTTCCAGGGCTTCTTCAGGTTGGAAACGAGATGAGGGAATGGGGAATGGGTTTTATGGGCTAACCTGGCATCATCGAAACTAAGGCTTTACGGACTCAATTAATTTAAGAGATTTTCCAAGCAACTCAGACAAAGAACTTGAAGCTTGTGGTGCAATTGAAGCGACATCGGATTGAGTTTTGGCATTGCTCTTCATTTGGCGGTCTTCGCTTGGATTTTTGGCTTGCTCGAAATTTAATTAAGCCTTGCCGCAGGCCTTGGTTGAAAAGATGGTGGGGGCGGGGTGTGGGGGAGAGGTTGATGCTGGGAAAAGCCTTTGGAAAGTTGCCGTCTAAATATTATTTTACACGATGCTTTAACGGCAACTTTTGCATGCCTCATAATAATAATAATCGTCATAATGCCGCCAGGCAACAACTGTTTCATTAAAAGAAAAATAAACCAAAGAGGGGAAAAGGGGAAGAGAGAGAGGGGCCTGGGTGTGGGGTAAATGCAAGGGGAAAAGACGGTACAAGATTGCATCGTATGTTGTTTTATGCGTATGATATTTTGCCAGGCCAAAGTTATGAGTTCTATAAGGAAGCTGGCAAAAGGCAAAGGAACAGGCAGGCGGCAGCCCCAAGAAAAAATGGGGAATCTTTTCCCCATTTTGTTCCCTTTCTTTTTTTTTTTTTTGGTAGGGTGACGGGGGTAGGGGTAGGGGTGGTCGGTTGCACTTGCTCTTTTAGTTAAATGTTTGAAAAGAAAAATTAAAAACTTTTTACAGCGCACACAACATGCGCGACTGCTGCTGCCGCTTCTTCTTTTGCGCTGCCATAATATCCTGTAAGCGGGGCCAAAATGCAAGTGGAAAAAGTTAAGCGGCCAGAAGGGCGGTTAAAACAGACGAGGGGGAAGGGACGTAGGGGAAGGTGGGAGGAAGAAG